TTACAACCTCTGAGATTCTTAAGTGCATTCATTATATGTAATTTGTAGTCCTCATCTTGTGCTTCAGCTATATCGTATTTCTCAGGGCCTACTGAGTTCTGATAGTGGCATAATGTCTTGGATGTTAACAACTGCATTTTTAAGCTAGTGTCTAGACATCTGGGTTTGGGATGATTATGATTCTAGGTAATGATAGCTGGTCTTGTCTTCATTTGATTCCTTGGTTTATGTTGCATTTTCTGGATCTTAGGAACATGTGATGGGTGTGAGTTTCCTGTTAGGGAGTATATCTGAGTCATTGCTGGGTGTTTCTAGGTATTGGGATCTGACACAAAAGAATGGGGTTACACTAGAATTGAGGTGTGTGTGAAAGGGTTCACAGGAAGGAGGAGAGCCAGGTCTGCCATGAGGTTTGGCAGTATCCGCAGGGAGTGGAGTCAGAGAGGGAGGACAATCTCCTGCAAGTGCTCGGCTACAGGGCTGGGCATGAGACTGGGGTATTCGAAATGGAGGGCTGGACAGATAATAAAGATTGACTATGCAGCAATGACTTTAATGCCATGATTGTATAACTAGAATCTTCATTGAATGTGCTTGTTAGTTACACATCAGTCCTTGCTTGATGCTACAAAGGGTTTTCTGAATACACAGTCATGTCATCTGCACAGGTAAACAACTTTACTTCTTTTCTAATTTGGATGTCTTCTTTGTCTTTTCCTGCCTAATAGCTGTGGCTAAGGCTTCCACTAATATTGGAATTAGAAGTGGCATGCCAAATAAGAATTTTCACCTAGTCCCTGGTCTTAGAGAAAAACCTTCTAGGCTTTGCCATTGAGTCTGATGGGCTGCATGCCCATCATATGTAGCTTTTTTGATGCCAGTTCCGGCTATCATTATTATTTTTTCTTTTTTGTTTATAGTGAAGAAATCACAGGCTGTAAAGCCTTTACCGCATTTATTGAGATAATCATGTGGCTTTTAGCCTTCATTCTGTTGACATGGTCATTCATATTAACTGATTTACATATGTTGAATCTGGATTTGGTTTGCTAAATTTGCAATGGATTTTTCAATCTGTATTCATCAAGGATATTGGCCTCTAGCTGTCTTTTCTTGTGTGGTTGGCTATGTTATTACGGTAATACTTGACTTATGACATGATTTTGGAAGCATTCTTTGTCTTTATTATCAATTTTTTGGAACAATCTCAATAAAGATTCATCTTAAGTATTTTTTAAATGCCTGGTAGAATCACTAGAAATCTATTTGATTCTTGGCTTTCCTTATTGAAAGGCTTTTATTATTAATTCAATCTCCCTGTATTAGTTTGCTTTCTGTTTGCTGTGATAAAAACACCTACCAAAAACAACTTGGGGAAGAAAGGGTTTATTTTAGCTTGTGGATTATACTCAACATTTGAAGGCAGACAAGGCAGAATCTTGAGGCAGAAACCAATAGAAGAATGCTCATTACTGGCTTGCTTCCTCTGAACTAGCCAGCTATGTTTCCTGCACATCCCAGACCAACTTGCCCAGGGATTGCACTACCCACAAAGTGGCAGACCCTCCTGCACTAATCAGCAACCAATTAAATGCCCCACAGACAGATCCGCAGGTCAATCTGATAGACCATTCCTCAATAGAGTTCCTCTTCCCACACATGAATAAGTTTGTGTTGAGCTGATGAAAACTAACACTCCCTTCAATTTTTATTTGTTCAGATTTTCTTTTCTTTCATGATTCAGTCTAGAACAGATACATGGCTCTAGGAATCATCTGTTTCTTCTGTGATATCCAGATTGCTGGTACAGAATTGTTCATAATTGGCACAGTTCTGTGGCATCAGTTCCAGTGTCTCTGCTTTCACTTCTGAATTTGAATATTTGAGTCATGTCACTTAGTAGAAAAGAACAAAACAAACAAACAAAAATCAGGGACCCAATTAAAAAGTGGACAAAAGGAATTAAATAGATGATTTCTCCCAAAGAGAACTAAGATATGGTTACAGGTGAGTAAAAGGATGTTCAAATTTACAGGTCGTGAGGGTTGTGCTCATCATACCACAGTGAGATAGCCCCTAAGATGAGTTAGAAAGTTAGATTGATGGTTACCAATAAAATGGAATGGAACAAGGCTCAACGAGAATAACTTTTATTTTTCTTTCTCCAAGAGTTATATAATGATTGCTTTTACATTATATTTAAAGTTCCTACATAATATAAAAAGTATACCCAGCTGGGTGTTGGTGGCACTTGCCTTTAATTTCAGCACTTGGGAGGCAGAGGCAGACAGATCTCTGTGAGTTTGAGACCAGCCTGGTCTACAAGAGCTAGTTCCAGGACAGCCTCCAAAGCCACAGAGAAACCCTGTCTCAAACCCCCCCCCAAAAGTATACTGAATTAAGGCCAATTTATCAGGATTCAGTACAAAATATTAGATCTCGGGGGGGGGGGGCAATTCAACATGTAAACAATCTGTGGAGTTCAATCTCAATTGCTGTGTGAATCGTTGTGTGTTTAACACTCAAAACTGATAAAGAATGCCAATAAATGTTGGATTTCAGTGCCAGAAATTTTTATTATGGTAGAATTTAAAACTGGCACTGTCATTTGTAAGTTAAATGCCCTCAGCCCTGTTTTGTACCAATGAAGACTTAAAAGGTAGTAGAAATTGAATATGCCATATAGAGAATTACATGAGTTTAAGACACTCCCATGCTTGTAGGTTTGGAAACTTGGTCTTCAGCTGGTGAACCTGTCCAGGAGGCCGATGGAATCCTTAGAAGGTAGAGTCTTGCTAAAGAAAGTCTGTCCCTAGGCATGGGCTTTGCAGCTTGGACCATATCTTCTGTTCTCTTTTGTTTGCTTCCTGTTGGAAGAGGCACTGTGCTCAGCCAGCCTCCTGCTTCTGCTGCCTTCTGTAAAGCTGACAAACCCTCTCTCCTGCCAGAAAGGCCTCCCTGCCTGTGGATTGGTCCCATGAGTTCAACGTCTGAGGACATGTTTACCCCAAAGTGCAGAACTTTGTTTAAACTGAAGAGGGGGAGAATATTCCCTCGAAGACCCTTGAACCCCAGCCTTCAAGTAGAGGCCAAGCTTCAGCTTCCCAAGCGCCAGAGGTTTTGTTTTTCCCCTATGCCTTGGAGTGTGTGTATTTCCTCCCCCCAACAAAAATCTTTCTTTACTGGCTAATGCTACTGGCTTCTGTATGCTATGTCTGAGACAACTCCCGTCCCCCCATCACTCCATCCCCACTGACATCTCTGAACAAGAATTCCTGGATAGAAGCTGTGTCTGCAAACACTGATTAGAACTATAATACTGAGAAGAGATTGGAATGTTGTGGGTCTAGAGGCTAATGACTTTATCTTGGACTAGTTTTAAGAGGCTCCTCCCACAGCCATTCCTTACCTACCTTTGTGTCAGAACTAACATCTAGTGACTAATAGATTAAACACTTTTTGAAATCTATTAACTTAATGAGGTACTAACTACCACTGACTCCACAGCTTAGACTGTCATCAGATAGCATCTTAAGCCTATAAAAAAGTTGTACCCATGTTACTGTAACCATAGCTCTGATGTACCTCCCAATGTATTTTGAAGTTGCCTTGACTTATGGCATTCTTTGTTCTGTGAGACAGTGGAACTGTTTCAGTGTTGGAACATAGAATTTGGGGTAATCTAAATCTGTGTTCCTGGACCCTGATCACTCAAAGTATTTCCAAGAATAAACTATCTTTTGCTCCCTTTAAGATGAGATCTGTTTTTCCCCCATTGGCATGCCTGTTATGTTCAAGAATTTTTCTACCTTTTAAAATCAAGAAACAAAATCAAGACCCCTAGATAGTAACATCACTTACACAGTAATATAAAAGTAACTGACACAGAAATGGGTACCAGGGAAGTGGAGTTGTCGCTGTGATGAACTTGATCGTATTGGTTTTTGGAGGATGTGGAAGGCTTTGGGACTTTGGGTAGGAAAGCCATTGAACCCAATGGGTAGAGCTAGAAAGGCTGCTCTTGTGGGAGCTTGTAAGACAGGAGTGCTGAGATTAATGAAGAAAGTGGAAGCTCATTGCAGGAGATATGGAAGAACAGGGAAATCTACCAGCAATGTGTGAGACCAATTATGTGATAATGTAATAGAGAACCTGCATTCTGACCTTGTTCTTGGGATTTGAATGTGGCTGAATTTTAAAAAGAAACAGATGAGCTTCTGTGGGGAAGAAAATTTCAAGACCTCATAACATTAAACCTGTGACATGGTTATCACGAAGTTATCACCTCCCATGTAGGTCTACAGGAAAACATAGCAACAGATGTAATGTTAAATGCTTTTTATTCTTTTTGTTCTTTTGTCTTTTTTGGTGGGGCACTACCCAGCTCCCAAGTAAATCATACACAGATATTTATTCTTAGTTATGAATGCCTGGCATTAGCTTGGCTTGTTTCTAGACAACTTTTCTTTATTTAGAAGCAAACATTTTACATATCAATACCCCCTTTCCTCTCCCTTCCATCCTCCCATGGCCCCTACCAACACCACCAACCCACCCCCACCTGCTCCCCAAGGATAGTGAGGCCCTCCATGGGGGATCATCAAATTCTATCACATCACTTGGGGGAGAGACTAGGCCCTCCTCCATGTATCTGGGGTGAAATAGTATCCCTCCATAAGGAATGGGCTCCCAAGATTCATTTGTGTGCTAGGATAAATACTGGTACCACTGTTACAGGTTCCATAGCCTGTCCAGGTCTCCTAACTGACACCCACATTCAAAGGCCTTGGTTCAGTCCAATGATGGCTCCCTAGCTTTTCGACTCTCATTAGGTCATGTCAGCTGTTTCTGTAAGTTTCTCCAGCATGGTCTTGACTCCTTTGCTTGCCCATCCTCCCTCTCTACAACTGGATTCCAGGAGTATGGCTCAGTGCTTAGCTGTGCGTGCCGGCTTCTGCTTCCATCAGCTACTGGATGGAGGCCCTAGGATGGCAATTAAGGTCGTCATCTGCTACACCCACAGCGGTGACCCCTGTGTAACTGTAGCAGAATGCCGCTCTACTGGGGGGAACTGCCTGAAGGGATGGGGTCAGAGCTTCTCGAAGCGGAGCCCCAGGCAGTCTCCTGGAGAGAAGCCCGATCCATGAGAGCCTCCAGAAGATCCCTGCGCTGGCGAGCAATATGTTCTGTTTTCTTTATGCTTTTCTGCGTAATCTGTTTAATCACTTTGCTATCTGTTTCCCAAGCACAGGCTAACCCAGATTCTAAAAAGGAAGCTGGCAATGCCACCAGCCCTGAGATGAATAACCCACTGCTCGAGGCACCTCCATTTATCCAGGCTGTTTATACAGAAGCTGGATACAATAAGACTAGTAATCAAACTCTGGGAGATTTTCTTAATGTTGTGAAACGAAGGGAACTCCTTATAGAACACTTCCCGGAGGATATACTCAGTATCTGATTAAGGGGAGATGGTGGACGGCGCCACGATGGGTGCCGGAGCAAGGAAACTATTTAGAGCCCCTATTATATACGGGAGGCTATGATGAGCGGGGTTACAGATGGGTCAACCATAAAGGCAAGAGAGTTCTTTGGAATTCATTAAACTTCATGGAATGGTTACGTAGAAGCAGGAGACCATGGTGTATTTATAATGAAAAGGAGAGACGAGCCATTTTAGAAAATATGATGACAGTCTTAAGATACTGGCATGCTTGCTTATGCAAGCAGTTGTGGGAAGCCTTGTATCGCAGATATGATTCCTTTAAAGAACACATTGCTAAGTACATCAGAGGGGAGCTAAAACTATCCATGTAGAAAGAGGAAGTTGACACTTGTCTCTAAAGATATGCTAGACATGATTCATCGAGCAGCCAGTTCATGACCAACCGCAAAGCCACAAATAATTGTATTAATAGATAAACTTATGCTATGTCTGTGTATTAATAGATAAACTTATGCTATGTCTGATTTGGGGCTGGAAACTTTTCGCTGAGATGTTCAAATTCTAAAAAATCATGATTCAGCTGTAACATGAATTGTATTTTTTCTATCCTTGTTCCTTGTTTCTATCACTATATAAGAGAAGTTTAAACTTCAGTAAAATTACAGCAGTTCACTAAGACTCTTGGTGTCTGTCTGTCATTTCCTGCGCCGTATCCTGACCTCTCCTGATACCTTCGACCCTGAGCTCCCGCGGTCTGATACTCTCCGCCAGAGCGGTCCGCGGCAGCTGGCGCCCGAACAGGGACTTGAAGGACAGGTAATCTTTCTTTTCTTTCCTTTTTAGTGGTCAAGGAACGGATCTCACCAGGGAGCTGCAGTCCCGCCGGTAAAGGCTGACCGGTTAAGCGTGAGTAATCTTGAAAAACAGGAAATAATCATGGGGCATACGCTGACTAAAAATGAGAGCATGCTGGTTACCATGTTACATAGAATGTTGCTCAATTCAGGACTTCATACTTCTAAGAAAGATTTAGAGCACTTTGCTATGTTTATTCAAAAGATAAGCCCTTGGTTCTTGAATGAGGGGTCCTTGACCTTAGGAGAATGGAAAAAACTTGGTCGAGAAATGCGAAAATATGTACAGGAAAATGGAGAAAAGACCCTGCCTCCTCAAGCCTTCCCTTTATGGTTGCATATTAGAGAAATATTGACTGAAGGCACCCCTTTTCAGGGCCTTTGTCGAGAAACAGCTTCTGAGACTGAGGAACCGGTATATGCTGAGGTGGCTTTCGAGGAAGGTACCTCGGAAGAATTAAAACCATTACAAACGGGAAAACACTGCAGACGTAAAGAATCGTCTCCTGAGAATGATGATGATGATGTCTATTTAGATGATGAGATGGCAAAGGAGGATTGGGAAGATGATTTTAGAGATCATACTGACCCTCCTCCCTCCTATATTACAATGGTAAAAGAGAAAAAACCAGTCCCAAAGCCTCGAAAATACCCTCCCTTGGTCCCTATGGGATTTCAAGGGGCTATGGCTGAAGCAAGGAGAACCGGAGATACTACCTTTGGTATATTCCCGGTCACAGAAGTTTGGGACGAGGAACCTATGTGGGAACCTTTGCCCCTTAAAACTCTTAAAGAGCTGCAACAGGCTGTAAAGATGTCTGGACCATCTGCACCTTTTACCTTGCAGATCGTAGAAATGGTGGCCAGTTCTTGGCTAACTCCCTATGACTGGCTACAGACTGCTAAGGCCACACTCTCTCCTGGAGATTATATTCTCTGGAGAACTGAATATGAGGACAGATGCAAAGAGACCATTGTAGACTCCATCAAAAAACGAGGCCCCAAGCCCACAATGGCCATGCTTATGGGCACAGGAGAATATGCCACCCCTCAGTCTCAGACTAAAATACCTCGAGATATTTTGCAAATAATAACTACTAATGCTGTTCAAGCATGGAGGCGGATTCCTCCTTCAGGAACCAAGGGAGGAGCATTGGCTAATATAAAGCAGGGAACAGAAGAAACTTATCAGGAGTTTATAGCCCGGTTAGAGGAGGCTATTAATAGAATGATGCCTCCTTCTGAGGGCACTGATATTCTCCTCAAACAATTAGCTTGGGAAAATGCCAATGCTCTATGTCAGGATTTAATTAGACCAATCAGAAAAACTGGTAACCTGCAAGATTATATAAAAGCATGTCAGGACGCCTCACCAGCAGTAGTGCAAGGAATGGCCTATGCTGCAGCCATGAAAGGACAAAAGTTCAGCTCATATGTGAAACAGACATATGGAGGGGGTAAAAGACCTTCCTCCCCACTTACTTGCTTTTCCTGTGGAATGGAAGGACATATCCAGAAAAATTGTCCAAAGAATGATAGGCATAAAGGACAAAAAGGAACCCCAGGTTTGTGTCCTAGATGTAGGAAAGGAAAACATTGGAAAAGTGAGTGCAAATCTAAGTTCCGGAAAGATGGAACCCCTCTTAGCGAGGAAGAAGAAAAAGAGACAAAAAACTGGTAGAGGGGCGATCTCCTAGCCCCACAGCAAAGGGAGAGGAGGAATTTAAAGAAAGCTCTCTTAACCCTGATGCTCCAGAATTTACAATACATGATTTGCCTAGAGCTACTCCAGGAAGTGCAGGGCTGGACCTCATCTGTAAGGAAGATATAATTCTGTCCAGATGGGATGGAGTTTCTATAATAAATACCCATACTAAAGGGACTCTACTGCCTCAAACGACAGGATTAATACTGGGTAGAAGTTCTAACATCAAGAAAAACTTTGAAGTAATTCCTGGAGTAATAGACTCTGACACAGAGAATACTATTAAGGTGATGGTGAAACCATTGTCTGAAACAATTCAGTTGCATAAAGGACAGAGAATAGCTCAGTTATTATTGATACCTTATATTCATTTACCAAATCCGGTCCTCCAGGAAGGGAGAGGACAAGGACAGTTTGGTTCCAGTGAGGGAGCATTCATGATTCAAGACCTAAGTCAAAGACCCTTTAAGACGATTACTATAGAAGGGAAAGCCTTCAGGGGTCTTATGGACACTGGGGCAGACAGAACATGTATCTGTGCCTCAGATTGGCCTAATGCTTGGCCAATCAAGAAAACAGGTTCATCCCTTTTAGGATTAGGATCTGCCTCTGGTGTAATGCAAAGCACTAGACAATTGAAATGGACTCATGAAGGAAAGAAGGGGATAATTCAGCCCTATGTTTTGCCCTCACTCCCATTTACGTTGTGGGGAAGAGATTTATTAGATTCTATGGATCTAAAATTGGTATCTGCAGAGGAATTAAGGTACCAGCATTTTTCATAGGGGTCACTGAAGAAAATCTTTGTGCAGATAAAATACAATGGCTGACTCAAGACCCCCTATGGGTAAGTCAGTGGCCCCTAACAGAAGAAAAAGTGCAAGCTCTTGAGCAGCTAGTTCAGGATCAATTAGAAAAAGGGCACTTAGTGGAGTCCAATAGCCCTTGGAACACACCAGTGTTTGTTATAAAAAAGAAATCAGGGAAATGGAGGCTATTGCAGGACCTTAGAGCAGTAAATGCTGTTATGAAGGATATGGGAGCACTGCAACCAGGATTGCCATCTCCAGTTGCAGTACCTAATGGCTGGCCTACTTATGTGATAGATCTACAAGATTGTTTCTTCACTATAAAGTTGCACCCAGAAGATAGTGAATATTTTGCTTTTAGTGTGCCATCAGTAAATTTTAAAAGGCCTTTTAAAAGATATCAATGGGTCACTTTGCCTCAAGGAATGAAAAATTCTCCTACCTTATGTCAAAAATTTGTAGCAAGAGCCTTAGAAACAGTTAGAAAAGTATATAAGGAGGCATATATTATACATTATATGGATGATATTCTGTTGGCTTATCCAAAAGGGGAAGTTTTGGAATTCTTATTAAAAGATATGATCCAAGCATTAACTAGTAATGGACTTGTAATTGCTCCTGATAAAATACAGAAAAATAAACCACTCAATTACCTGGGACAGGTAATTCATGAAGATTTTATAGTTTCACAAAAAATATCCCTAAGGAAAGATAGGCTAAAAACTCTAAATGATTTCCAAAAATTATTAGGGGACATTAATTGGCTACGCCCTTATTTAAAAATAACCACAGGAACCTTGAGTCCGTTATATTCTATTTTGCATGGGGATTCTAATCCGAAATCAATACGAACATTAACTCCTGAAGCTCTTGCAGCTTTACAAATTGTTGAACAGGCCTTGTCTAATGCAAGAGTTAAACAGCTAGATTATAATAAAATCTGGAAATTATTGATCTTTTCCACTAGTTATACACCCACCGCTTGCTTATGGCAAGATGGGATATTAGAATGGTTGCATTTACCGCATACACAAACAAAGATGGTTGCTGATTATCCATATATGTGCTCTTTATTAATCATTAAAGGTAGGAATAGATCCAAAGAATTGTTTGGGTCAGAACCTATGGAAATTGTTACTCCTTATAACAAAGGACAAGTAGATTTCTTAATACAAAATAATGAGGATTGGGTTTTGGCTCTTCAAGGATATATTGGACAAATAAAATATCATTACCCCAGGCATCCTCTCATTGAATTTTCAAAAAATGTGGAATTTATTTTCCCCACTTGTTTTTCTCATGAGCCTCTGATTACGGCCCCAAATGTTTTTACAGATGGTTCCTCCACGGGAAGGGCTGCGGTCTATGCCCCAGATTATGGTTATTGGGTGCAAGACGGGCTACGCGGTTCTGCACAGCAGGCAGAAATTAGGGCAGTAATTTTAGCTCTGACTAAGATTTCCCAATCTTTTAATTTATACTCAGATTCCAAATATGTGGTTAATCTCTTTCCTGCTATAGAGACTGCCACCTTGTCCGGGAAATCCCCCATTTTAATTTTATTGCAAAATTTGCAAGAACTTCTTCAAAAAAGAATGCATAAAATATTTGTGGGACATATAAGAGGACATACTAAGCTGCCTGGTCCCTTGTCACATGGGAATCATATGGCAGATTTATTGACTATGACCTTAACACCTCAGGTCTGGAACATTACTGAAGCACAAGAAAATCATGCTCTTCATCATCAGAATGCTAACGCACTTAGAAAAATGTTTCATTTAAGTAGAGAACAGGCCAGACAAATAGTGAAATCTTGCGGCCAATGTCCTGCACCCCATTCAGTACCAAAAATGGGGGTAAACCCCCGGGGACTTAAGCCAAATGTAATATGGCAGATGGATGTAACTCATGTAACCTCTTTTGGAAAATTGTCCTTTCTTCATGTAACTGTAGATACCTTTTCTCACTTTACTCATGCCTCAGCTAGAACTGGGGAAGCAGTTAAAGATGTTGTGCAACATTTGTCTCAATGTTTTCATATAATGGGATTTCCTTCACAAGTTAAAACGGACAACGGCCCTGCATACACCTCTAAGGCTTTTGCTTCCTTTTGCCAACAATGGGGCATTAAACATGTTACAGGAATTCCCTACAATCCTCAAGGACAGGCAATTATAGAAAGGACTCATCAGGTTCTTAAAATTCAAATAGAAAGGTTGCAGAGATCCAGCAATGTGTATTTTACTCCTCATCATGTTTTGTCACATTCCCTGTTTGTCATTAATCATTTGAATTTAAATAGCCAAGGAATTTCTGCTGCCCTATCCCATTGGGATAGAGAAATTATTAAAAGCCCATTGCCCAAAGTATTATGGAAAGATCTTTTAACCGGGACCTGGAAAGGGCCAGATATACTCATAACGGCGGGACGAGGGTATGCTTGTATCTTTCCCCAGGATGCCGAGTCCCCCATTTGGGTTCCGGACCGACTCATCAGACCTGCCCCGAAAGAAAAGGAAGCAGAAGCGGAGGCAACGGAAGCAGCAGAAGCAGCTGATTCTGCAAATGAAGAGACTGAGAGTCAGCCGGGGAAAGCCAATGACCTGGACTCAAGTTCGCTCGCTGACGCGACATGCTAAAGAACTTTTAATTGAATTGGGGAAACCCCCGACGCCTGCATGTTATTTCTTGGCCTTTCTTTCTCTCCTCTCTGCTACCCCTCTACCCACAGAGGGGGTTTCCTATTGGGCTTATGTTCCAGATCCTCCCATCATCCAGCCCGTAGGCTGGATGGACCCACAACACATTAAAGTGTTAACAAATGATTCACTAAGAATAGGCGGTGCTCAGAATTCAGAGCTCCGCCCCAGCACATCCTCCTTTATAAATTTTGAGGGCAGAGCAGATTCGTTACCGGTCTGCCTGACTCTTCAGGGAAAGGCTCCTCATGGCTGCTTTACTACGCGCTATAGGACCTTTCTTACAGATTCTCCTGATAGGGCACAACTCGGTGATTCCTCAGGTAAAAGATGGATATGGGAGGTTCAGATGCAGACTTTGGGTGATCCTTTATATAAAGAAGTCTTTGTAAATAGGCAAACAAGTCCTGAAGTACAGTGTATTGAAAAATACAGGGATAAGGATAAGTTTTGGGATGCAGCATTAACCAATAATCCAACATGGTTACAATGTGCCTTTCCTCATGCGGCTACTTGGTATGCTCCAGTTAATTTGACTGATGAAAATTTATTAGTATGGGATTATTCTAATTCTAATAATGGCTCCAATAAGATTTATGAAAATTATATTACACAAAATAAGGAAAAATTTCATAATTATACTTATGATGGCCTTGGAGAGCCTCTTAGAAGTTGGTTTTCACCTGGGATAGTAGAACCTACCTGGTTCATCGAACAAGGAAATATCACAAGGCGGCAGTCTGACCTATTTCGGTTAGTGGCCGCAGCCAATATGTTCTTGGAAAAGAAACCTGGTGAAAAGAAGTCTTTAGCTTATGGTTTGCGTGCATGTTTATCCTATCCCTATGCCATGCTTCTTGCGCAGCAGGCTTCTGTTAATATTTCCCAAGAGCCCGGAAATTCTTACTCGGTTACTTGCCATTCCTGTAAATTGACTAATTGCATTTCTTCAGCGGAATCAAAGGATTTGGATACAGTTATAATCGTTCGACGCCCTTCTTATGTTTTGTTGCCAGTAGAGCTTGGTGAAGAGCCTTGGTATGATAATGCTGCTTTACAAGTTTTAGAGGACTTTAATGCCCTTATTAGGCCAAAACGTTTTGTTGCTGCTCTTGTTCTTGGCATTGCTGCTTTAATATCAATTTTAACTACTTTTACTGTTGCCACCACGGCATTGGTTGAGACAATTCAAACTGCACAGTTTGTTAATAACCTCAATCGCAATGTTTCTCTTGCTTTAATTCAGCAGGAATTAATTGATAAGAAATTGGAATCAAAATTAAATGCTTTGGAGGAAGTGGTGGTTGCACTTGGTCAGGAAATGAGCAATCTTAAAAATACGCTTTCAGTTCGCTGTCATGGCAATTTTAAGTCTATTTGTGTCACACCTCTGCCTTACAATACCTCTGAACCTTGGGAAAAAGTGAAAGCACATCTGCAGGGAGTTTGGACAAGCAGTAGCATTTCCCATGATATTGACTCATTACAAAAGGATATCTCAGCCATGAGTCAGTCGCATCTACAGTTAGGGGGGCTTCAACAACTAGCCTCCAGCCTACAGTCTAATGTAAAGGCTCTTAATCCTTTAGATTGGCTACAATACTTTATATTTCTTGGCATCCTTGTCTTGCTTTTCCTTATAGTAATTTTTCTGTTTCCTCCTCTTATCTCATGTCTTTTCAAGTCGCTCAAAACAGTGCAACAGGATATCTTCGAGCTCCGTTTTAAAAATAAAAAAGGAGGAACTGCTACACCCACAGCGGTGACCCCTGTGTAACTGTAGCAGAATGCCGCTCTACTGGGGGGAACTGCCTGAAGGGATGGGGTCAGAGCTTCTCGAAGCGGAGCCCCAGGCAGTCTCCTGGAGAGAAGCCCGATCCATGAGAGCCTCCAGAAGATCCCTGCGCTGGCGAGCAATATGTTCTGTTTTCTTTATGCTTTTCTGCGTAATCTGTTTAATCACTTTGCTATCTGTTTCCCAAGCACAGGCTAACCCAGATTCTAAAAAGGAAGCTGGCAATGCCACCAGCCCTGAGATGAATAACCCACTGCTCGAGGCACCTCCATTTATCCAGGCTGTTTATACAGAAGCTGGATACAATAAGACTAGTAATCAAACTCTGGGAGATTTTCTTAATGTTGTGAAACGAAGGGAACTCCTTATAGAACACTTCCCGGAGGATATACTCAGTATCTGATTAAGGGGAGATGGTGGACGGCGCCACGATGGGTGCCGGAGCAAGGAAACTATTTAGAGCCCCTATTATATACGGGAGGCTATGATGAGCGGGGTTACAGATGGGTCAACCATAAAGGCAAGAGAGTTCTTTGGAATTCATTAAACTTCATGGAATGGTTACGTAGAAGCAGGAGACCATGGTGTATTTATAATGAAAAGGAGAGACGAGCCATTTTAGAAAATATGATGACAGTCTTAAGATACTGGCATGCTTGCTTATGCAAGCAGTTGTGGGAAGCCTTGTATCGCAGATATGATTCCTTTAAAGAACACATTGCTAAGTACATCAGAGGGGAGCTAAAACTATCCATGTAGAAAGAGGAAGTTGACACTTGTCTCTAAAGATATGCTAGACATGATTCATCGAGCAGCCAGTTCATGACCAACCGCAAAGCCACAAATAATTGTATTAATAGATAAACTTATGCTATGTCTGTGTATTAATAGATAAACTTATGCTATGTCTGATTTGGGGCTGGAAACTTTTCGCTGAGATGTTCAAATTCTAAAAAATCATGATTCAGCTGTAACATGAATTGTATTTTTTCTATCCTTGTTCCTTGTTTCTATCACTATATAAGAGAAGTTTAAACTTCAGTAAAATTACAGCAGTTCACTAAGACTCTTGGTGTCTGTCTGTCATTTCCTGCGCCGTATCCTGACCTCTCCTGATACCTTCGACCCTGAGCTCCCGCGGTCTGATACTCTCCGCCAGAGCGGTCCGCGGCAGTCATCAATCTCTTTAATGGGGAAGGGCATCAATGGTGCCTGTCCACTACTGCCTAGATTCTTAGTTGGGATCATCTTTGTGGATCTCTGAACATTTCCATAGTGCCAGATTTCTCTTTAAACCTATAGTGGCTCCCTCTACCAACGTATCTCTTCTCTTATTCTCCTCTATTCATCCCCTGACTCAGTCTTCCTGACCCCTCTTGTTCTTCCCCCTCCTCTTCTTCCCTTCTTTTTTTCCTACCTCCCTCTTTTCTCCCCTCATGCTCCCAATTTGCTCAGGAGTTCTTGTCCCTTTTCCCGTTTTGGGGGGGACCATGTATTTCTCTTGTAGGATCCTTCTTGTTTTCTAGTTTACCTGGTGGTGTGGATTTTATGCTGGCATTCCTAATATCCATATGTGAGTGATTACATAGTTATGCCTTCAGTCTTTTGCCTCTGGACTTTTCTTGTTCATTTACTTCTATAAATCTTACTCATTCTCCATGGATTGCTGTGTGGCTGGCTGGATGACTGATTGGCTGGCTGGATAACTGGCTGGCTGGCCCCTGATGTCCTCCTCTCCTTGTTCTCTTGCTGCTCTTCCTCTTTGTGTCTCATTTTTATTTATACACCCTGCCTGCCAGCCCCACCTATCCTTGCTCCTGCCTCACTATTGGCTGCTCAGATCTTTATTAGGGCCACCAGGTATTTTAGATAGGCACAGTAACACAGCTTCACAGAGTTAAACAAATGCTGCATAAACAAAAGTCACACATGTTAAAATAATATTCTACCACAAACAGGTGAAAGAGAACTAAAAAGAAATGACAAATATGCAATTTGGAGAGGTTTTCCAAAAGACAGTAAGAAGCTTAAGGTTACAGTTAAGTCATGTGCTGAAAAAGAGGCTGCAAGATTATCATCACTATAGGGAAACTCCCTGTTCTGCACTGAAAGAAGTGAATGCCCTTGAGGAAACACACACACACACACACACACACACACACACACACACACACACACACACACACAAATTCATGCTCCATGACAGTCTGAGGATCTTCTTGAATTTTAATAGTAGGTGTGCAGTTGTTTCCCAGTCAATGGGTGTTCTTGAAGGCTCAATTTTCTTCCATTCACCTACAGAGGAAGCCCCATCAAACTGCAGGACTGGAGACCAGCCAGTGTTCTTCCTTAACCACAACACGCTTCCTTCTGATTTTAACTCCTATTTAGGGTTGTCTATTTCCACTCCCCACCAAAGAGGTTTACACATTTCATATTACTTTCCTTTGTATAATTTTAAATTAGTCAAACAACAATTAAATAAAAGATCTTGATTTTTTTGCCTACTAAAATTTAAAATGCCATAGCTGAAATTCAATTCTGGGTTTGTATGACAGTCACCTGAGTCAAACTATTATTGTTGTTTCATACTGAAATGTGAGACCCATGTCCCGAACACATGTTGATGAATATTAAATAGAAAGAAAAAAAGGAGAAACTTCATTAGCTAAAAATGCAAACTAAACAAGCTATATAAGGACAATCATATATTATGTATTTTATTAATTTCAAAAATAAGCTACTGTGCCCTCTGTCAACTAAGACAGACAGAAGTGTGTTCCTGGACAGCCTTTCTCAATTTTGCTCTGATCTGGATCTTTCTATATGGTAATTTTGCATGAGAATGTTGATCTGTAAAGCAGATGTGGGACCCAGGCCAACAGGTACTCTTGGAGTGTGCTTAAGTGCAACAATGCTGCAGAGCCTGCACACTGCCTGTGACCAGAGGACTCACCTTGGGAGAAGCAGCAGCCAGAACTGGGGTTTCTCTGGTCCAGACAGATTGCTTCCTCAGTGTCTTTAAATCCCAGACAAGGAAGATGTGAAGGGTTTGAGGGTAAGCTGCAGTTTGCCTAACATGACAAGACTGGTCTTCGTGAAAGCCAGATGCAGGCTCCAGTGGTCATAGCTTGTGTTCTGCCTTAACAAATGTCAGCTTTCCCTCAAAGATTCAATGTCCTTGCTTTGCTTCTGCTTGATTATTGTTTCTGCTGTCTGGTTATTAGTAGGAAGTTGTCAGTTTTGAGCAACTCTACAGAAGAGGGAATTTTTAGTTGGTGGTTTGTTTTAGTTCCAGATTTTGAGACAAAGTATCATGAAACCTTGGTTGATCTTGAACTCGTGATGTAGCCAAGGGTGATCTTGAACTCCTGATCCTCTTATATCCACCTCTCCAGTGTTGGAATTCCAGGGGTGTGTACTATCACATGTCTTCAAGAGGAGAGGATCACAAAAGGCAGTCATAAAAGAAGCAGCTCTGAGGGTGTTTCTAAAGCTGCTTGCTACAGTCTTGAAAGTAGACTTTTAAAATGCCTCACATGTGTGAGATTCAGTCCTTCTTGACAACAGCCTGTGTCTAATAGAGTAGGCTGTCAATTCACGCATGGCAAGTAACTGAAGAACCATTCCCATGCAGCCACATCAATGCCAGAGCAGAGAATAGTACCACAAGCCAGGCCCAGATTTCAGGGTTAGTGTATTCAGGAGTATCCCACCTTTTGACACCGGGTGACGACATTGTTCTGTACAAGTGAGTTGGGCCAGATTCACAGCTGTCCTGAGATGCATGCAGCCCACGGGCCACAGGCTGGATATACCTCTTAGAGTCTATCTGTGCCTACACTGTCCCCCATCACCTAAAGCAAATATTTGTTGCAGTTACCCATCGATCGTTTCACCATTCAATGCTATGGTGAATGATGACTTATTTAGTTTTCTCAGAGGCTTTCAGACCTGAAAGAATATTCTCAAGGACTGAGGACTGCCCCCAGGGGCTCCATCTGCACCTGAGTAGGATTTAGATGACAACATCCCAGATGCTAGGCCTGAGCCTGATGATATTTTTATGGAAGCTCTTGGGAGGGAATGAATTTGTTTTGCATATGGGAATAATGCAGTATGTGACCAGAAAGTGAACTGTGACAGTTTTAAGACTTACTGCATAAGTTTTGAAACTTTCTTCATTAAGAAGTCACATCTATGTACCCTTTCTTCATATCTGGGCAGGCTTACGTTTCCATCAATGAAATATATCACAAGGGATGTTAGGTCACTTCCAGGAATAACTCATATGAAGTACACTGCTTCCTCATTGGCGCGCTCTCTCTCTCTCTCTCTCTCTCTCTCTCTCTCTCTCTCTCTCTCTCTCTCTCTCTCTCTCTCTCTCTCTCTCTCTCTCTCTCAGAGTCCAGTGCTGCTGTCAAGGTATCTGGCCAGTTTAAGGACACCACAGTGTAAAGATTCCAAACTGTTGAAACAACAAGCATAGGTTAACTGGTGAAATTTTAGCCACTAAACAGTCCCAGCTCAGGCACCAAATATGTGTGAGAGAGAGAGACTCCTGACCATTCTAGCTCTCAGCCTTGGTGTTGTGGGCAGACAGATCATCTTGGCCACCTGTCTAGATTTCTGGTCTGTAGGATCTGAGGATGACAAAATGGTGATTCTCGGTGAGTGTTCTAAGTTTAGAGATAACTTACTGGACATGTACAACAATGGGCACCAGTCCAGGCAAAACATTACAACTAAATTGGGAATGAAATATGGATGTAAGGCCAATATGGGACTTCGGGAACAGTCAACAGTTGGTGCTCAATATAAGTTTAGAGTCTTATGTGAAGGAAATAGCGGATGTTAGTGCTCCTACCATGATGTCTGGAAGTAAAGAACAGGATGTATTATTATTTTTTTTTGGTTCTTACGAGACAGGGTTTCTCTGTATTGTTTCGGAGGCTATCGGTCCTGCCCGGCCTCGAACTCACAGAGATCCGCCTGCCTCTGTCTCCCGAGTGCTGGGATTAAAGGCGTGCGCCACCACCGCCCGGCCAGGGTGTATTATTATGTCAAAAGAAACACATGCACATATTTCTAAGTGATTATTCTTTGTGATCTTCTAGTGCCAATATTTAGGTCCACCGTTTCAAAACTGTAAACATCTATTTTGAAATTACAGAGGAAAAAGGATCTGATTTATTGTTAAAGTCATGCAAATCCAGAACCTCATTCCTTTCTTTTCTACAAACTTCATTTTCCATCCTCCAAGACATTTTAATACTTACATAAAAATTAATAAACTATAATGATGAAAATTTGACCTCATATGGAAAAACCTAATGAATGAAAAATTAGTATTATATCATATAAAAGAGAAGTTAGAAATGATTTAATGGTTTAAAATATGATAGTTTTTCACATAGAGGAATGTTTTCATTTGTGTGTGTGTGTGTGTGCATGTATGCATATCCATGTATCTTTAGTTCATAAAATTTGAATTTGGTTAGTCCCATAGAGCATTTCATTTTGGTGATGGTTAACATTTCTTGTAATCTGAAGTTTGATCAAATGTACTTACTGCAGAGACTTGATTTAACTCAATTCTGCATACAGACACCACTGACACACGATTCAGAACTAATTGTTTAATAAGGCCTCTTTAATTTCAACAGAGATAGTAACAGTACCTCCCATCTATGCATCAAGGATCATTTAATAGAAACCAGGCAAGGATCTGTCTATAGATATCACCTTACCTCACCTCTGTTCTACAAGTGAGACTGGTTCCAAAAGGCAAATCATTTTCTCAAGATCACTGAGTTAGAAATCAGGCTGAGATTAAGTGATAATTCAGTCTTACATATCTTCATTTTATAAAGGAAACACAAGAAACTCATATGTGAGAATTACATATGATATGACCACTGACAGGAAAATTAACCTCTAGATTAGGTTTTAACTCTATACATTTAGTATTACTCTTTTCAATTATAATAATGGAACACTTTTGAGAATACCATTGTTATCATAACTGTACAGTCCTAATGTCCATTCAATATATCCATTTTCTACCTGTATATGTTGGTAATTATAAAATATATACATGGAAAAACATATAGTACATACAAACCAAAGGCAAATAAAATATTTTTAAACTTTAGAAATTCTTAAAGCATATTATATCAATCCTATTAAAAACAGCTTTTCTATATACAATACATAATCTTTAAAAATCTCCCCGAAGAAACAAAACTCTTTGGTTCAGTAAAAGGACTCTATGTAAATATAATTTATTAATGATGCACTTTCTTATTCTGGGCTCTTGACTCTTCAGGAAATAGATTGACAACTTTCTCTCAAGAATGAAAATATATGTGTGGAGATTGGTGAACTTTGCTTTTCACAGAGAATATTATCATATGAAAATACAATCAGCAGCTTGAATGATAAAGGAATTAGGAATGATACAAGCTGTTGTTTCTACCCTGCCAGATTAAAACGATAGTGAAAAATCTCATCATTTTGGGAGGAAGGCAGGAAGCGATTGTGGTCAATACCTACAAACACTCACTGGTAAAATTCTCAGGGACTGGTGTCCAGTGCATTGAAACTCTCCGATTCATTATTTGGAAGACCGACAAGAGAAAAGAGAAAGAGACCAGATTCTGAATGTTCCTTTGTTTCTAAAATTCTATCACATCCCCAATAGCTTGTGTTAAAATTATAAATGACTCAAATGATTTTCAGCAAAGTCACTAACTCTACAGAGATTACATATACCAACATCTGCCAATGGGCTTCTCAAAAAAATAAAGGTGGTCATTCTATTCTTTGTGTTTATTAATAGCAGGAATAATAGGATTGAAGAATATATCTTAAATCTTGAAAGAATCAGCAATTTTAGCTATCAGAGTTCATGAGCTTTGTCTCTGTTAAGAAGGAAATATCCTATTTATTCCACCATGTTTTCTACTTTGATAGTGGAAATATTTTTTAATATAAGGTGAAACATTCCCAAAAGGCCCAATAATTAACCATAGTTTCTAAATGATTTAATGAAGTTTTTAAAAGTTCTCTGAAGTATCACAACCAGGCAAAGGAAAAATAAAATTTTTGTTTATTTTTTTCTAAGTTATTAAAAATAATGTAATTATCTGCTTTGATTAACTGACCTCCTTTAGTAATTGGTATCACTAGCTAATTTTCAAATGTTTTCTTTTTCCTACATGGCATCAGAAAAATATTTTAGTGTATATTTAGGTTAGAAGAAAATGAAACCCTTCATTTTCTTGACTACCTAAGACGTCTGGAAACCATCATTTGAAGACATCACAATATATCCTTGGTGTCTGTTGAGCTCTGGAGAGATTCTTCTAAAGTTGTTCATCCTCGTATTCTTCCTTCTATCTGCACGACTTAGGTGCTCAAGAAGAAAATGTTCATTTTTTCCCCTTAGGATTCTAGGCAGGAGAGTATGAGCTGGAGGTAGCAGCAGATTTCAGAGAAAACTATGCTATGCCAACAAAACTAGGTGTGATGGTATAAAGGGAAGGGTACAGCCTTTGACATCTGGGACAAGTACAATGGAATACAGGAATAATCCACAGCATCTAAAGGAGACACTCTCATTCAGAACCACATCAAGCCACTCTCCTTCTGTGATCCAGCCAGGGTTTTCTTCTCCCTAGCGATCTTCCAAGAGATCTTCCAATGCTCTGAAGAAAGGAATAGTCAGCACTGTATCATTGACCCTCACAGTCCTCTTCTGTGATGTGCCATCACTTTTCTTGTGTCAGAAGTCTTTATCCCAGCCTGACATCTCATCCGGAGGCACCCCCCTTTCAGGAGGGTACTTGTCAAAGTAGCTGTGATCTATCGGGCCACTGAGCTAATGGAAAAAGGATAGAGCAAAGGTGAGGACAAGGGTGACCAGTACATCCAGATTGCTTGCTGTACCTGAGTGCTGACATCACACCAGAGCCTCCTATATATTACATGTGAGAACAGATGGCCAATTGATTGTCTTACCTCACAATCTCAGCCCCACGAGATCGCCCAGTTTAAAGCAAATGATTTTGTTGTTGGGTACATTCATCAGGAGCTACCAAACATGAGGAAATATTTTCTAAAGAAAAGTTGAAATAAGTACTATCTGCCTTCTTTTATCAGACAATATTTCCAAAATAAATATTTTTTAAAAAATCAAAATTTATCAAGAGTTCCTCTTACATTTAGGTTTCTCACCAATATTGAACAATCAATTAATCCCTATAAAGTATGCAAAATAGTAAGCAAATGGACAATCCAAAATCTTAGTGACACTGAAATGTCACTAAGAAAATAAAGGATTCTGGTTAAGTCTTTACTGAAAACAAATTACATAGTACCTACCTAATTAAACCATTAAATGATACTATTGTGGTTTTTTGTGGTGTGTTGGGGACTTGGGGGCCACTCCTGGGATTGTCACCACTATGCATAGTGACTATCATACAGGACAGGGTATGTTAAGAGAAAGTGAAACATCACATGACTTGGGAGAAATGTGTCAAGAACAATAGGTCAACGTTCTACCAAATTTATGTGAGTGATATCTGAAAGAATCATGGAATCTGTGTTTTCTATTGCACACCCCTTCATCAATAGCTCTGAGTGCTCACAAAAGTTAATAGCAGTAGAGAACAAAACTTACATTATGACACATTCACATAATATAAAATGTGATCTTACCTAATTTCTTGGACTACACTTACTATAATTTAAATACTGTAGGAGGAGATTTGATCATTTAAAGCATACTTACACCAACATTACAACACTCCCTAGTCTTCCTTTTTCATTCTGTTCTACCTAGAAAACTCTTCTTTAAAAAAGCAGGAAGGTAAGTGCTAATCTTATTGCATGAAATTGAATTTTGACCTTAAAATTTTAATAAGTTTTATATTATGCTCAACTTAGTTATTAAATTTTTATTGTTAAGATAAAATTTAGAAAGTTAAAATTCTCCTTTTAATGGAAGATAGTTTTATGATGGACCATCATTCTTGCTCATTCTTTATATACCTTATATTTTAGGTTTTTTCCTATTTTATATAATGATATAACTATTTGTTTTAGATATAGTTATAACTGCATTTTAGTAGCATGTGTTATCAAAGGACAAATAAATAAAATTCTTACTGTAACTAATAATAAACTACTTTTTACCTATGTATCTGAGCAACTCTGATGACTTTGAGATTTAAGAGACACTGGCATGAAATTAATTTCTGAGAGGTGACCTTAGTGCTCACCAAATAGGCAATACTATTATTCTTACATGTAAGTATTCATGGAGCATGCCTATGCTTGTTTGGTATGTGTGTAGGGGTATTGCACATTACACATGGTGTACATGCCTGTGCATGTCAGAGACTGAGGCTAATTACTTTCTACTTTATGTTTTGAGACTGTGTCTCTTTCTGGACCTGGAACTCATCAACTTTGTAAGAATAGCTCACTGGTGAGTTCCAAGGATCCTCCTACCTCTGCCTCCCCAACCTCAGTGTGTGTAGGATGCACTATAATGCACAGCTTCTCATGCAGGTATGGGGGCTTCACAAACTGAGTCTGATCTCTAACCCCAGAAATACAATTCTAGTTCCTATATCACAATTACTAGGAGAATCACCTAATAAGAAATAGTTTTTAAAAAGCACCTAAATTCTCTTGTGTATGTGCTACCTCTCTCCTGCTCCCTTCCCTTTCTCTCCTTCTCCCTCTCTCAAAATCTACTTTTAAAAACGAGTTTCTAGACACTGATCAAGGGAGTGTCATAGCAAAGACCATACCTCTCTTCGTAAAGGTGATGGAAGGTTCCGTGCTTTCAGCCCCTCCCAGTTAAAACCATTTAACCACCTAAAATGAGAAAAATATGGAGGATATTACTTTCATAATAAATGAACAGCATCACTTAATAAATGACTAGCATGTCAGAGTATATCTATTAATCCATTTGTCACTCCCTATCTCCAGAAGTGCTGTTGCAGGCAGCTGGAAGTTAACGGGGAAGGAGTTGGTTTGATAAATTTCATGTTAAACCCATGCTCACAGGGCCCAGCAATCATCCTAGGTATTTCCCTGTCATACTTAGATTCACAACTTATAGTTTATACCCTCTCTAGACTTTCAGAACTTTACTCTCATCTTTATGATATCCTCATTTCTTTTTGCTATTTTTATTTTTAGATTTACTTGTTTTATTTTATGTATACAAGTTTTTTTGTCTGCATGCATGTATGTGCATATCTAGAGGTCATAAGAGGGTGTCAAATTTCCTTGAACTGGGCTTATATATAGTGGTGAGCTGCCATGTAGTGTAAGCCCCTTGGGTCAAACATACTCCAGCCTGCTTCTACAAAGAGTAGTTCGGAAGCACAAATTGGTGTTGAAGGGTTTAAAAGAACGAAGAAGAAAACTCAAAGCTGGGTGGGTAGAGTTGAGAGTGGAGAGGGGGGGTTTGATAGCAGTGAAGCAGTGAATATGATCAAAATTCATTGTATGAAGTTCTCAAAGAATTAATAAAAACATGGTTAAAAATAAAAAGTAAATCTTAAAAACAAAAATGACTGAAGATGTCGAAGAAACCACAAAATGCCAGCTCAGATCACTGCCAGATCACACTCAGGCGCTTTGTTGGAATTTAGGGCACCGTAATTTTGGATTACATTACATTACAAAATGTAGAGGAAACAACACAATCTGGTTCTCAAAAGGTAACTGTGGTCATCTAGAGAATGACCACAGGGGCCCAGCGGTGCAGTGGTGGCGACTAAAGATAGGAGACCTTTAAGCATCTGTCACTGTCCCCTTTTAGCCACACCAGAAGTTAAGCCTTCCCTCCTTTCACGGGCTCACCTCACTTCTGAGTTTTAGTTTAGTCCTTGACTGGATTTCCCAATACAAAGCTGAGTTTGGCAATGGATTGGGAACTAGTGTGTTCCACCTTAGCTGTCATTTTGGTAGAAGCTCCTCCAACTCTAGTGAAAAAGCAGGAGGTAGACAACAATGTTAGCTCATGTCTGCTTATCCTCTGTCCCTGCGTGAAGCTGTACGATTTTCCCCAGGACACACCTATCAGTCTAGGCACTGTGTTGGGCTCCCGCTTCAGACATTGCTGGGCACACGTTTCTGCAGGATCTTCTTTTGTCACCAAATACAGGAACTACTCCTAGCATATCTTACAAAGCTCTTTATCCAAGGAACCCCAGAAATATTAATGCAAGCCATCACTGTTGTTCCACTGAAGAAAATAGCCTTACATTTCTTAGTCTACTTGCTGCAATTTGGCCAATGAGGACAATTACTTAGCATAAGTGGCCTTTCGTTTAATCCTGGCCTTTGAGATTGGCTGCATTTTATGCAATGCAAGTGTAAGCACACATCCATATGTGAGTAACATTCAGCAAAGAAACACTGACAGCAACGGCAGAGAAACTGCTTGTTTCCAGGAGATATGTAGAAGCTATTCTCAAAAGTAATGGTAAAGTACGTGACATCTCTTCCTGCCAGGAAATGTGTAATTATATGCAGCCAGCTTTACTTATCTCCCTTCAAAATGGGTGTTGGGAGTAAAAAAATAATGCCTCATTTCTAGATTAGCTAATAAGCAAGGGGGCAAAGATGATTTAATAAAGAATGCATAGATTGTACAAATCCCTATAATAGGTTCCATGCTTTGGGATACTTTTTTAAAAATACAAAACTAGAATGAAAACTTTTCTTTTAAAAATTAATTTTGGACAGAGCACAGAAATCTAATACAACCATTAAAAAGAATTTTTAAGCCGGGGCAGTGGTGGCGCATGTCTTCAATTCCAGCATTAGGGAGGCAGAGGTAGGAAAATCTCTGTGAGTTCGAGACTATCCTGGTCTACAAGAGCTAGTTCCAGGCCAGCCTCCAAAAAAAAAAAAAAAAAAAAGTAAAAGTCATAGAGAAACCCTGTCTCGAAAAACAAAAACAAAACAAAAAGAACTTTTAAAGATGTACTTTACTATTTTTAATAAAAGATTGTGTATTCATGTGTGCCCCACATGCGTGTGTACATAGACTTCAATACACATGTCCAATGAGGAAGCAAGAAAAGGGTGTCAGATCTCCTGGGGCAGAACTTAGAGGAAGTTGTAGGCTGCTGGCAAAGGTGTTGAGAACTGAACACATGTGCTCTTCAAGAACAGTATTCATTCTTTACCACCGAGCCATCCCTCTAGCCTCTACAAGAATGTTGCTATTGCTGAATTTTAAGAATATCCTGGATAGTAAAAAAAGATGTAGACTTGGGGGATTTGTATGAAGTTTAAAGACCCCCTTATCTAGAGAGATACACATAGACTTCCCCACAGACACCCTGAATGTATCCCCTAGCTTGATAGCTTAGAAAAAGAGACAGAAGAATAGAATGAAATTCTGATTTTTAGTCCAGAGAGCAGCACACAATCTGTTGTCTCTTGTCAACTGTCCCCTGAATTCTGACTCTGAAGCTCTATCTGTGTGGCAGCAATTCTGCCAGTTACAGAGAATGTACAAATCAAGCCTCACAGGGAAGAAAAATCAAATAACAACATCCATTTGCAAGCACACCCTGCCACAATCTGACTGCTACACATGAATGAACCTCAGGTAAATAAGAACTATCTAAAGCAGAGCTTCTCCACAATTAGATCCCTTCTGTTTTCCAACCACCCCAAAGCAAAGCATGATGACTCCTTAATGAGAAAGAGGGGGCATGATGGTAAGAATCACTTTAATTGGTGGGACACCTGTCATTATGAATGGTGTGTTTGTATGTCATTGTATAATAAGAAAAGAAGCTGTGGTAACAATATGAGGTGCAAAGAGAAGATGAATTGGATTTTCAGGCCAACAGTGAGCTTTGCAGTTGAAGGCCATCCAGAGAATGACACAGAATAAAGTATTGCAAGCAAGTTAATGTCTGCAGAGTTCCAGATGAGTCGGTCTTATGTCTCCCTCTCTCCCCTTCCTCTCCCTCCCTCCTTTTCTTTCTAATTCATCCTGTGTGGAGCTTGGTTTCACAATGGTAAACACGTGGCTTGATGGCAAAAGAGGGAATTATGACTTCAGACAGCAGGACTGGCTGCTTAGGATCTATTTAGTTATTTATTGATTTGCTCATTTTGCACCTACTGTTAAGGAAAACAAACAGCAGCCACAAGCCCCTTTTTGTGCTCATGCTGCTAAAGTCCCCCTGCTTTATCAGTGAAAAATACCACTGGAGGGAGGGTGTGTGTGTGCACGTGTCCGTGTGTGTGGCTTGGGAATTCATGTGCTTAGCATACATGGGACACTAGATTTCATCCTAATCCCCAGCACACACACACACACACACACACACACACACACACACACACACACACACACATACACACACACACATGCACGCATGCACACAGAAATACCACCCCTCAATCTGAGAGGAAGAAAGGATTGCAGTTGTTTTTATTTTGGAAAGTGAACAACATATCAGCATAGTCAAAGGCTTGCAATAATGAAATCTCCACTTACTTACATGTGGGACAATTAAAGTAGAGTTACAAAGGAGAGTTTCTGTCTGCAAAGTATAAGCAAAACTGAAAGCATCCTGAAAATTCCTGGTCTTGCCAAGGATTGTTTAAAAAGCATAAATCTTAAAGACTCAAAGTGCCACATTTGAATATTTACTGAAATTAGAGGGGATGTCATGGAAGTTATGGGGGGGAGTGTCTAGTAGCCATTAAAGGGAAGTGCGAGATCACCCAAGAGAACAACTCATTATTGTGGGTCAGTTCAAATCAATGGACATTTGTAAATGAGGTTACAGAACTTAAAGAAACATTCAAAGGACATTATATTTTAAATGAATATGCAATATTAGTTAAAACAGAAATAGAATACAGGTGACTTATGATAAGTCATGTACTGACAAAAATTAATGTCATTTGAAAATATATAAAAAAGTTTTAACAACCTGAACTACGGGACATTGTAACGTAGTCACCTACTCTCCCGGCCGTGGATGCTGTGGTTCACAGTCACAGCCTGACATCGTAAGAGAGGACATCACTCATAACTCGCTGCAGAAAGGATTCTAAGATGTCAGGATATGGTTCCTGTAGGGAGCTATTTAGTCAAGCCAAGGACTGGAGATGCAGGACTTCAGTTATTTTTAAATGGCCTGAGTCATTTCTCTGGCCCTGGAGATGTGACCTCCTGAACTGCTCAGAAAGCCATTAATATTATCTACAACAGGATGCAAAACCCCAAACCTTGTAAGACTGCAGTCTAGCAGAAGCTTTGAAAAATCATTGCCCCTCCTGTAAGAGTGAACCCCAAGCAAGGTTGTCAATGTGCGCAGGAAATCGGCCCTCGGGAAAGGTGTCTGTTCCCGGGCTAATGGATAATTGTAAAACCTAACTAAACATATGAGCCAAAACAATGGTCCTGCTGGCCTTGTCTACTGTCACCATGGCATGAGAGGGCTCTGCTCTGCAATGGTCCCTTTGGCCACTGCACACCCTTATCCTATACAAACCCACGTTATTCTGTAATAAAATTTCCCCTGTCCTTTATGCTACACTTGTCTCTTATGAATTCATTTAATGGAGTTGTGATGGTTGAAGACATAGATGAGGTCAGAGAAAAATCCCACCATACTTCCTACTAAATGCATTGCTTTCACAATACCATAAAGCAAAAGTTCACTAGTTGGTGTTGTTTAGCAGTGGGTCAAGCTATATCATTATCTTCTGCATCTCTTTGAGAATTATAGCCTACTTTATTTTACAAATTCATTGCCAAAATTTAGATTTAATTCCTTTACACAAGCTGGCTAATAATAATAAAAATGCCAGTGGATAAAAACGGTTTCTATGGACCACCCCGAATGCCCATTCCTGATAATGAACTTGATGTCTATAAACATCCTGGAGCCTTCATCCAGTGACTGATAGAAGCAGAGACAAACACCCACAGTTAAACACTGAACTGAACCCAAGGAACCCAGTGACAGAGAGAGAGGAGCAATGAGCAAATTGGCAAAGAATGGGCTGGCAAAACCAGCAGAGACAGCTGATCCGAACAGGGGGAGAACTCTTGGACCCCAGACTGACAGCTGGGAGGCCAGCATGGGACTGATCCAGACCCCCTGAATGTGAAGGTCAGTGAGGAGGCCTGAGCAACCTATGGGGTCCTGAGCAGTGGATCAGTGTTTATCCCTCGAATACTAACAGACATCGTGTGTCCATAACACAAAGAGGGATGCTCTCTCAGCCTAGACTCTTAGGGGAGTGCCTGGACCCTACCCTGAGTGAAATGACAGACTCTAGATATCCCCTATGTGGAAGGAATTGGCAATAGGGTGGGAGGAGGGGGGATGGCGGGGGGGGGGTGTGGGAGAAGGGGAGGGAGAGGGAACTGGGATTGACATGTAAAACAAGCTATTTAAAATTAAATAATAAAAAAGAGAAAAAACACACAAATAAAAAACGGTTTCTATGACCGAAAGTTGTGATTTTATAACTTTTAAAATAACTTCACTCATTCTTGATATGAATGTCCAACATTAGAGAAATCATATTGAGACTGATTTGGGTAACTACAACTAGCTAACAACAAAGTAAAACTGAATGCTAAAACATCCAAAGGTTGAAAGCCTGCAGAGACCTCTCATGATCACCTCATGTGAGTTTGATACTGGATAGGGTCATTTGGGAAGAGGGACCCTCAACTGAGAAAATGCTTCTAGCAGAATGGCCTGCGGGCAAGTCAGTAAGCAACACCCCTCTATGGCCTCTTCATCAGTTCTTGCCTTGACTTCCCTGGATAATGGTCTACAAGCTGTCAGATGAAATAAGCCCTTTCCTCCCCAGGTAACTTTTGGCCATGGTATTCATCACAGCAATAGAAACCTTAAGACACCTGGGAATTCTATATATTTCTGTGTTTATCTTGGCAACAAAGGAAGTCAGTACCTGTGTTTCTTAATGTCGTTGATCCCATTCTTCAAATTCCCCAGCCTTTCTGTTGGGTTTTGCCTGAAATAATTTACGAAAGAAGTTTATAATAACAATATTTGAGTGGTTTTATACAGGGGAGCAACATTTGTTTTTAAATTTCTTCACTCAATAACTTTCATCAGACCCTACAGTGTGGGTCAGTCACTTGAATACAGGAAGAGAACAAAGTCCCGGCCCTTCCACAGAGGAGCTGCAGCTGCCTGTTGGTGTATCTATCAGTTCATTATGTTGATGATGCTGAATAAATACTATCTTTCAATCTCGGCTAAGAGAATTCTGGGAGATGCTTTAGAGTTTCATCTACATCCACGCTGCAATCTTAGCAGTCTGTTCAACACTAGGCTTGATGATTTTACTAACTTTTAAATCCTTCAATTTTTTTTCAAAGATGGAGCAGGGGGCACCACAGTACATTGCAGTTTAAGCAAAACAGAAAGCTCTGGAAGTCTCTAATAATTTTTTTCTGGAAAAAAATGGTAGTTTCTGTAGTAAGTACAAGACTGGAATATTTTAAAAGAAAATTGCAGAAATGCAATTTTTTAAAGACTACTGGGGGATGGAGAGAGCACTCACTGGCTGTTCTTCCAGAGGACATTCGAGTCCTAGCCCCCACCTGGCAGCTCATAAGCTGTTACTCTAGCCCCATGAGGCACAACACCTTCTTCTTACCTCTGTGGCCCCCAGACATGCACGTGGTACACAGACTTGCATGCAAGTAAAATACCCATACACATAAAATAAAAATAAATAAATCTTTCATAAAAGTTATTTTTAAAAAACAGAAAGAAAATGAATATTAGGGAGCTGGAGAGATGGCACAGTGGTTAAGAAAATTTGCGCTCTTCCAGAGGACCTGGGTTTGGTCCTCAGCACCCATGCAACAGCTCACAACAGTCTGTAACTCCAGTTCCAGATCTGAGGACACCTTCTAGCATCTGAGGGCACCAGGTATGCACCTGTTTCTCTGTGCCTTTGGAGGCTGTCCTGGAACTCACTTGGTAGTCCAGGCTGGTCTCGAACTCACAGAGATCCGCCTGCCTCTGCCTCCCAAGTGCTGGGATTAAAGGTGTGCACCACCAATGCCAGGCTAGGAGCTTGGATCTTGGTATACATGGTGTGTCAATTTGAAGTATGGGCTTCAACTGGAGTCTAATGAAGGAGGTTTGAATACTTACTCTGTTACACAAATATGGTGGCAATAGATATGGATCCTGTATGTTTGGGTATCTTTAGGATGCATAATCTCAAGTGTGAAAAAGGATAAAGATTGGTTCATATGTTCATTCTAGAGGACGAGGGAAAAGGCTCACGAGTTTGAGGCTAGCCCAGAACACTGTAAGTCAAGACTAGCCTAGACTAGGTAAATCGTAAGTTGATGACTCAACAAAATAAAACTAAAGCTTTGATTGAAGGAGGACTTCCATTTTGGCAATTAGGAGACTTTACCTGTTAACACCATGATTACTGCTAGGTTAATATCTATGGAAAGATTTTATATTTGTACCATGATAAGCCAATACCTATTTGACTAGTTTAAGTAAAATAAAACACCAACTTTAAAAAAAAAACATATGCTTAGTCAACCCGCATACAAAATTTTCAATTTTTTTAATTTAAAAAGTTCCTTCAGTTATAGCATCAGCATATAAAGTTCAAGCAGTGAACACAGAAACCTAACTGTGAAGCATCTATACACTCCACAGTAGGTGAGTGAAAGCCTTCACACGTCCTCCAATGCTAGGTCATTCTCACCTGCAAAGCCTCCGGATCAAATCCTCAGGTCGCCTTGTTATCTTCCTAGGGAAGTCCATTTTTTCAATTCCTTTGAGAATCAAATTGTAGGTCATCATTTGGTCTATCCCAGAAAAGGGTGGGCTGGAGAAGATGCAAATGAAGACACACTTCAATGAGTGTCTGAGGGAACTTGCCTTTTCTTACTTCTCTTCCTACTTCTTCCTGACGCTCTAATACCCTCCTCCCTTGTTAGCTACTTTACAACAGGTATGGATATATTCTGGAAAAGCCTTTCACATCACTTAAATGACACACACAGTTAACAAGTCAAGTGGTGATAATGACTAAAAAGAAAGTCATGGAGACAGAGAGGGAGGGGGGGTGTGACTTTTTTTTTTTTAAAGACAATGATGGAGACCAGGGACCAGCTGTTCCAGCAGGACCAGGTAAAACAGGTCCTGCATCCAGGCCTGTGTCCCAGTGCCTGGGGATTGCCTGCGAAGTGCACAGAGCTTCCAATCCCGGCCGGAGCCAAGCACCTCAGATTCCAGGTCTTCTCTCCCACAAACAAGACCTGGAAACTAGCAGATCCAGCAGATCCAGGGAGGCCAGGTGACAGCTGTTCTGGCAGGACCAGGTACAACAGGCCCTGAATCCAGGCCTGTGTTCCAGTGCCTGGGGATCTGGGAACTGCATGGAGCTTCCAATCCCGGCATGAGCCAAGCACCTCAGATTCCAGGTCTTTTCTCCCACCAATGAGACCAGGAAACCAGCAGATCCAGCAAAGGGACCAGGGGACCAGGTGGGAGGCTAAGCACCCCAGATTCCTGGTTTTCTTCTTCACCCACGGGAACAGACCGAGGACGAGGAATAGAAGAACTACCACATTATTGGACTTGCTAGCACCCACCAGAAGGGAACTCTGGTCCCATAACCACCATACCAGTAAGGGGCTCTCTCTGCACCTACCAGAAGAAGAGATGGGAAAGAGACAATACAAAAACACACTCAGCAACAGAAAAACAAATATGATACCACCAGATTCTAGAGACTCCACACCAGCAAGACTCCAACATTTGAATGCAAATGAAGCAAAAGAGAATGACCTTAAAACCATCTTCATGAAAATGATAGAGGCCCTAAAAGAGGATATAGGAAAATCCCTCAAAGAAATGGATGAAAAAAAACAAAAAATGCAAGACATGAAAGAAAAAACAAGCCAAAAAATGCAAGAAATGGAAGAAGAAACAAACCAAAAAAGGCAGGAAATGGAAGAAGAAACAAAGAAAAAATGCAAGAAATGGAAGAAGAAACAAACCCAAAAAGGTAGGAAATGGAAGCAGAAACAAACAAAAAAATGCAAGAAATGGAAGAAGAAATGAAACAAAAAAGGCAGGAAATGGAAGAAAAAACAACCAAAAAAATACAAGAACTGGAAGAAAAAGCAAATGAAAAAAATGCAAGAAATGGAAGAAAAAGCAAAACAAAAAAATGCAAGAAATGGAAGAAAAAACAAACCCAAAAATGCAAGAAATGGAGAACAAACCAAAAAAATCATAAAATGCAACAAGTGGATGAAGAGATAAACTGCAAGAAACAATGCCAACAGTGCAAGGGTTGAAAACTGAAATAGAGACAATAAAAAGACACGATCTGATGAAAGGCTGGAAATAGAAAAGCTGGGCAAATGATCAGGTACTACAGATACAAGCATTACCAACAGAATAGAATAGATGGAAGAGAGAATTTCAAATGTTGAAGATACACTAGGAGAAATGGATTCATCAACCAAAGAAAACCTTAAGTCCAACAAATCCTTAACACAAAACATTCAGGAAATATGGCACACCATGAAAAGACCAAACCTAAGAATAATAGGTATAGAAGAAGGAGAAGAAAACCACCTCAAAGGGGCAGAAAACATATTCAACAAAATCATAGAAGAAACTTTCCCAACCTTAAGAAAGACATGCCAATGAAGGTATAAGAAGCTTACAGAACACCAAATAGAGTGGACCACAAAAAAGTCCCCTTGCCACATAATAATCAAGACCCCAAATATACAGAATAAAGAAAGACTATTAAAAGCAGCTAAGGAAAAAGGTCAAGTAACATATAAAGGCAGACCTATCAGAATTACACCTGAATTCTCCATGGAAACTCTGAAAGCCAGAAGGTCCTGCATAGATATTCTACCAACACTAAGAGACCATAGATACCAGCCCAGACTACTATACCCAGCAAAGCTCTCAATCACTATAGATGGAGAAAACAAGATATTCCATGACAAAACTAGATTCAAGCAATACATATCCACTAACCCAGCCCTACATAAAATTTTGGAAGGAAAACTCCAACCCAAGGAAGCTAACTACAACCAGAAAAACATAGGCATTAGAGAATCCCTCTCTACCAACAGCCAAAAGAACAAAGGGGTGAAATTCCACACATAATCCCACCAACAACAACCATTGCAAATCGAAGAAGGATGAGCAATCAATGGTCATTAATATCACTCAACATTAATGCCCTTAATTACCCATAAAAAGACACAGGCTAGCAGAATGGATTCAAAGACAGAACCTTTCCTTCTGCTGCATACAAGAAACACACCTCACCCTCAAAGATAGAGATTACTTGAGAGTTAAAGGTTGGGAAAATTTTTTTCAATCAAATGGACCCAAGAAACAAGCAGGGGTAGCAATCCTAATATCTAACAAACTAGACTTTAAAATAAAATCAATCAAAAGAGATGAAGAAGGTCATTACATACTCATCACAGGTGAAATCCATCAAGATGAAGTGTCTATCCTGAACATCTATGCCCCAAATACAAAGGCATCCACATTCGTAAAAGAAACATTATTAGAACTTAAATCACATCTAAGGCCCCACACAGTTATAGTGGGAGATTTCAACATACCACTCTCACCACCAGACAGGAATACCAGACAGAAACTCAACAAAGAAGCAAAGGGTCTAATAGAAGTAATGACCCAACTGGGATTAACAGACATCTATAGAACATTTCAACCACATAAAAAAGAATATACCTTCTTCTCACCACCACATGGAACCTTCTCAAAAATCGACCACATACTTGGCAACATATCAAATCTCAGCAGCTACAAAAAAAATTGGAATAACTACTTGCATCTTATCAGACCACCATGCTTTAAAATTAGAATTCAACAACAACACAAATTGCAGAAAACCTACAAACTCATGGAAATTGAATAATGCTCAACTGCACCATTCCTGGGTCAAAGAAAAAATAAAAAAGAAATTAAAGACTTCATCGAATTTAATGTGAATGAAGACACAACATACACAATCCTATGGGACACTTTGAAAGCAGTGCTATGGGGGAAGTTCATAGCTCTAAGTGCCCACATGAAGAAACTGGAGAACAGTTATACTAGAGAATTAACAGCACTGCTGAAAGCTCTAGAACACAAAGAAGCAAACTCCCCCAGGAGGAGTAGATGCCAGGAAATAATCAAGTTGAAGGCTGAAATCAATAAAGTAGAAACTAGGAAAATAATACAAAGAATCAATACAACGAAGAGTTGGTTCTTTGAGAAAATCAACAAGATAGACAAACCTTTGTCCAAACTTACCAAACAGCAGAAAGTGAACAAATTAACAAAATCAGAAATGAAAAGGGGGACATAAAAACGGACTCTGAGGAAATCCAGAGAATCATCAGGTCATACTTTGAAAATCTGTACTCCACAAAATTCAAAAATTTAAAGGAAATGGACGACTTCCTGGATAGGTATCACTTGCCAAAACTAAATCAAGAACAGATAAGCAATTTAAATAGACCTATAACCCCTATGGAAATAGAAGCAGTTATCAAAAGTCTCCCAACCAAAAAAAAGTTCAGGTCCAGATGGCCTCAGTGCAGAATTCTACCAGAAATTCAAAGAACAGCTTATACCAATTCTTCTCAAAGTATTCCGCACAATAGAAGCAGAAGGGTCTTTGCCAAACTCTTTCTATGAGGCTTCAATAACCTTGATCCCCAAGCCACACAAAGATACAACTAAGAAAGAGAACTTCAGACCAATATCCCTCATGAACATTGATGCAAAAATACTCAATAAAATACTGGCAAATCGAATCCAAGAATACATCAAAACAATCATCCACCACGATCAAGTAGGTTTCATCCCAGGGATGCAGGGATGTTTCAACATATGAAAATCCATCAACGTAATCCACCATATAAACAAGCTGAAAAACAAAAATCACATGATCATCTCACTAGATGCTGAAAAAGCCTTTGACAAAATCCAACACCCCTTCATGATAAAGGTCTTGGAGAGATCTGGGATAACAGGGACATACTTAAACATAATAAAAGCTATATACAGTAAACCAACAGCCAACATCAAACTAAATGGACAGAAACTCAACGCAATTCCTCTAAAATCAGGAACAAAACGAGGCTGTCCGCTCTCTCCATACCTTTTCAACATGGTACTTGAAGTTCTAGCCATTGCCATATGACAACAAAGGGGGATCAAGGGGATACAAGTTGGGAAGGAAGAGGTCAAACTTTCACTATTTGCAGATGATATGATAGTTTACATCAATGACCCAAAGAACCCTACCAGGGAACTCTTACAGCTGATTAACACCTTCAGCAAAGTGGCAGGCTACAAGATCAACTCAAGAAAATCAGTATCCCTACTATATAAAGATGATAAAAGGGCTGAAAAAGAAATCAGAGAAACATCACCCTTTACAATTGCCACAAACAACATAAAATACCTTGGGGTAACACTAAACCAAACAAGTGAAAGACCTGTATTGCAAGAAGTTTGAATCTTTAAAGAAAGAAATTAAAGAAGCCCTCAGAAAATGGAAAGATCTCCCATGCTCTTGGATAGGTAGGATCAATGTAGTAAAAATGGCAATCCTGCCAAAAGCAATCTACAGATTCAATACAATCCCCATTAAAATCCCAGCACAATTCTTCACAGACCTTGAAAGAACAATAATCAATTTTGTATGGAGAAACAAAAGACCCAGGATAGCCAAAACAACCCTGTTCAACAAGGCAACGTCCGGAGGCATTACCATCCCTGACCTCAAGCTCTATTATAGAGCTATAGTCCTGAGAACAGCTTGGT